AATTAACCGTGACGTTTTAAAGCGCGGTTAATCGCTGCATCCCTATTCCATATTGACAAACGCAATCTACTAAGCAGCACAAGTTAGATTAAGGTCATAAACAACAGTAACAGTAACTAGGTTACAAGTAACAAGTCTGGCCTACAAAAACCATCATCGCGACAGCACTCTATTGCAGAGTAAAGTTGTTGTGGGGAAGTCGTGGTAACCTAATGGTTAGAGAGTCGGACTCGTAACCCAAAGGTTGCGGGTTCGAGTCTCGTACCGGCAGGGATTGTAGGTGGGGGGGGGGAATGAACAGCGCTCTCTTCCACCTTCAATACCACGACTGAGGTGCCCTTGAGCAAGGCACCGAACCCCCAACTGCTCCCCGGGCGCCGCAACAAAAAATGGCTGCCCACTGCTCCGGGTGTGTGTTCACGGCGTGTGTGTGTTCACTGCTGTGTGTGTGCACTTTGAATGGGATAAATTCAGAGCACTAATTCCGAGTATGGGTCACCATACTTGGCCACATCACTTTAAAAAAAAAAAAAGGGTTAACAGAGTGACAATCTCCACCTGATATCTGATGGACCTTTGCTGGTTTGTCCTTAACTTCCTTCCTGTCATCGTCCCGTCTGTCCTTCTGCCGCAATGGAGATAGGGAGGAGGAGCGGTGTCGCCGTGGAGACCTGCATAAACAAGACAGGCACACAGCTGGAGGGAGGGTTTTCAAAAACTAAACAACTGTGTTTTATCGAACCAGATTCACAGGCTTGTTATGTTCTTCACTTATCCGCTGTGTGTACATATAGTGAACAGCGAGTGTCTGATGCCACAAGCTCACCTGGATCTGCGTCTGTGGGGGGAACGTGAGCGTGACCTTCGTCTGTCTCTGTCTCGGGACCGGGACCTCTCGCGCTCCCTGCGCCTCCTCTCACGATCTCGCGAGGATGAGCGTGAGCGCCGTCTCTCTGGAATGACAAATCATAAAGTCATTACAAACATAAGTCTGGGACAAAATAAATATTATGTTTGAATATTTGAATTTGCCAGCTGCCCGAAAAGTCCCTTG